CAGGCGGAGAGGGGCGCTGCCCCGGCGCCGGCGGCGTGCGTGCGTTCTCCCGAACGCGGCGGCGCCGGCGCGTAAAACGCACGCACGTCCCCGCCCCCCCCCCCCCCCCCCCCTGCGTAAATGGGCCGGGGGGAATGGCAGCACAGCGAGGACGCGCTGGCGCCCCGATCACCCGGGGCACCTGGCGAACCGCCCACGGACAGCGGCGCCGCTGGCAACGAGCCCGGGCCCCGGGCCAGGCCGCAAGCGAGGGGGAACACCGGGCGCGGCCCCGGCAGAACGGCCTCGTCCCGCAACACCATCACCACCCGCGCCACGCCCAGTGCCATGCACTCTCTGCCCACGGCAACAACAACAACAACAACAACAACAACAAAAACAAAAGACCGCGGCGCGCGCGGACCGGCCTCGGGGAGCACGCCCCCCGCCACCATATCCCCTTGAGCGAACCGAAAACAATGGGCCCAAAAGGGGATCGTCATGCCCGCACGCCGACACCGCATCCGGCGCGGGGGCACACACACACACACGCCCCGGCCCCCTTCGCTCAGGGCAGCCAGCCCTCCGCCCGATGAACAGGGAGAGAGGCACGGGGGCGGGGGACCGGGAGGGGGGGACAGCACGGCGGCGGCCGCCGCAGCCGCCACAACGAGGCCTCCGCACACCCAGCCACCAGGGCGGCGGTACGCCCCCGTCCGCGCGCGCGCGCGCGCACGCGCCGCGCCCCCCTCCCAGGCCCGCGGGGACGCTGGCAGCAATCCGACCACACGCAGGCCGGGACGGAGCCTGCGGGGGTTGTGCCGACATAACTCACCAGGAGCCCCCCGAAACTACGGGAAGAATGGTGTTCGGCGAGTCACGCGAACGCGTCATGGGATGGGTCGGATCGGGCTGCCGCACCCCCGGCGGGCTTGAGGGGGGGGGGGGCGGACTGGCAAGGGGGAGGCATTCGGCGCCCGAAGAGCACCACCCAGTGCGCCTCATAGCCCTTCCCTCGCCGGGGCAGGCTCGCCCGTGCCCTGCGCCCCTCCCCTGTGTCCTTGACAGTGTGCGGCGATGGCAGGCCATGACACCCCTCCGCCGTGTCCGGCACACGGGAAACGGGGCACGCACGGGCACGCGCGCGCGCGCACACACACACACACACACACACACACACACACAAACGCACAAGGGAAAGGCGAGGACTTTGTGCTGTATTTTTGGGGGGGGGGATTCACATGAGGGAAGGAAGAGGAGGGGGGGGCGTCTGTGCCCTGTTGTTGTTGCTTTTTTTTTTGTTTTTTTTTTTGTTTTTCGGAGCGTCGGATGCATCGCGATCCGGGGGGAACTTTCGGAAGCGCGCGGGGGGCCGGCCGCCCCGCTTTTGCTTGCTTCTCGCCGCGCTGCGCCCCTGACTGCTCCCCTGCCCCGGCCGCACTACACACGAGGACAGCCTCGTACGCAGGAGGGGGGCGGGAGAGGGGGGGATGAGTGACGGTGGGGCAGGGACACGCGCACACGAAGAAGAGGAGGCTGAAGGTGGGTGCCACACACACGGGGAGCACCCTCTCCCCGGGGGGGCGGGGGGGGGGGAACGCCGGGAGAGATGGGCAGTGTGGGGCGAGGGGGGAGGAGAGAGAAAAGGGGCAAGGGCCGGGCGCCTCCCGGCAGGTGGTGGAGGAGAGGAGCGGGGGAGGGAGGCGCGCGGCCCTTTTGATGCGGGCATCGGCGGCCGCCCTCAGCGGCGCAGCAGACGGTTGCGGCCGCTCTGCTTGTCGGACTCGCGCTCGCTGATCTGGTTGTGAGTCTGGGCAATGCTGGCCTTGAGGGACTCGATCTTGCGGTTGTTCTCCTCGACCACCTCGGTCAGCTCCTTGAGGCGCTGTGTGTATGTGTGTGTATACACGGGGGGGGGGGGGGGGGCCATGGGTCAGGGGAAGGGGCGGCGCCAGGAAGCACATCCGGGAGGAGAGAGAGGCAGAGAGAGAGGCATAGGCATGGCGAGCGGAGGGGCAAGGAAGGGATCCCCCACGGAGAGGGGAAGCCCCGGGTGGGCGTGCCACGCACGTTGGTCAGGATGACGATCTCCGAATGCTGAGACGAGACCTCCTCCTGGAGGCGGGCGTTCAGGGACTCCTTGAGCTTGATGATGGGATCCGAGGTGGAGCCCATCAGGTCGCGAAGGTTGTCGCTAAAGGAGGCGGAAAAGGGAGCCAGGGCAGGGGGAGCGAAGAGGGGATCAGGGTGGGCGTAAGTCATCTGATAAGGGTGCGGTGGCAAAGCAGCCGACAGGCAGGGGGCGAGAGGGCAAGAGAGCACTCTCAGGGATGCACGCACATGGCATTGCGACCGCGGTTCACCGTGTTGAGGAACCCGGTGCGGTAGCGCTCATACAGGACGTCGACCGTGTGCGAGCGGATGTCCTCCAGGTTGAAGCGAATCAGCATGTGACGGAGCTTGGCGTAGTCCGAGTGCGACTCGTCCTCGATCGAGGCCTGGCCCCAGGGGAAGGTGCGGCCCTGGAAGGACGAATCACCGGAAGCCGCATCGTCGCACAGAACGCTGAAGGGCATGGCCCCGTTGAGGGTCTCCACCGAGGAGACAAAGTCCGGATCGTCAGCCGGCGAGACCGGGATCTCAAAGGTGGAGATGCCATTGGCGATGAGGTCGTCGCGGATCTGCACGGCGTCGGGCGGAGGACCAGGAAGGGAGGGCGAGGGGGGGGGGAGGGAGGGGAGATCAGTTTCGAGCCGGCCGTACGACAGATCCAGGCTGCAAAAGAGGCGGGGGAGGGGAGGAAGGGGGAAGAGAGAGAGAGGGGGGGGGATCGAGCAGAAAGAGCGAGATGGCGCGCACCCGGCGCTTGAGGACGCCCAGCTCCTTGGCGGTCAGAGTGTCGGCCTTGGAGATGATCGGGATGACGGACACCAGGTTGTGCACCCCCTGCAGGAAGTAGATGTCCAGGGGGCTCAGACTGGGGCCCAGGGAGGAGGGGGGGGGGCGAGAGAGAGATCAGACACAGGTACATGCACGGACAGATGTTAGAAACGAGCATCAGTCGGAGCACCGAAGGCCGAGGAAAGGCGGCCAGGCGTGACAAGGCAACAGGGAAACACCACCGGCGAAACAGAGGGCGAGACAGAGGGCGAGACAACAGAGGGAGAAGAAGGGCGAGAAGGCGCAAAGGGGAAGTGCCGGATGGCATGCGCACCCGCGGCTGCTGGGGTTGATGAAGTACAGGCAGGCATGGACCCGCAGGTCGGCCAGGTGCGCCGGGTGCGGCTGGCTGGTGAAGCACTCATGCTCCGACTCGAAGAGGACCGCCGGCTCCTGGACGAAGGGCGGGTTGTCGCCGAGGACCAGGGTGCGGGTCTGGCAGCGCTCATTGCTGAGCACCGTGTCCAGGCGGCTCTTGATGCAGCGGACCGCCCCATCCCACCCGTGGACATTGTTCACGCCGATGCCGAAGCCCGAGGTCTCCAGCACGGTCAGGCGCAGGCGGGTGCCGTTCTCCTCGAGGGTGGTCGAGTGCGTCAGGATCGGGAGGTTGCCCTCGGCGGCGGCGGCGGCCGCGGCCGCGGCCCGGCTGCCGGATGCCGAGGACTTGGACGAGCGGATGGACCCGCGCGGGGAGAGCAGCGCCCCGGGGCGGCTGATCAGAGCAGCCTCCAGCTCGGCGGCCGAGGGGATGGCCGTCGGGCCGAACATCGTCCGGATGAAGGAGGTCTTGCCGAGCCCGGCCGCACCGGCCACCATGATGGTGAAGTCGAAGCCGGTGGCCATCGAGTGGCTGTGTGCCTGGTTCGGGATGTTGGAGAACCCGACAATCGAGTTGAGGGAGATCTTCTGCGG